ACCTGAGTAAACCAATCAGTGTAGACATGGGCGGGTCTTTATTTGTTTCTCTTATCAAAATACCCCGAAAAATCATTTTTAAAAAAAGACATCGTTTAACGAGTGTCATTTCCTTCTAGAGATTTCGGACCTGAACCAGGAAGTTCGTTATCACTAGATAAAAGTAGAGCTTTGAATTGTTCTAGAAAGATTGGATGCTAGAGCTGATCGTTCCATGACCACGGGGTGGAGTTCTACAAAAGTTGTTGCACTTGTTGCTGGAGACCGGAGGCAACAGAAAGTAGCAAAAAAAATTTAGATTAAATTAAAAAATTAAAAATAATTTAAAAAAATTAAAAGTTAACATCATACATTTTTTTTGCTCTCAGGCACAAATCTTAGCACCAATTTCAAATAACGATAGTCTGAAGTTAGTGAAGTTATATTCAAACTACTTGAAAGGGTCTTTAATGTTGCAATGTACGTACGTATACGTAAAAACGTATATATTTATTTTTTATATATACACAAATGATGGTCTGAACTGCTTCGTGACATTATAGAGACGGTGCCTGCTTCCTCGTCTGACACCATGCAGACGGTCCCTGGGCCGTGCCTGACGGCTGGATGCCTCCCCTCCCCCACTCAGCCGTGCTTCTGTGTCCCTCAAAGATGGCGTCGGCTCTGTAGCCTCTGCTCTCTGCCTATATTTTTAGGCTCGTTGTTGACTTCGTTCCACCGCGTTACGGCATCTTCACCACCGTGGCTCGACACGAAATTCCGGTAAGTCCCGTGGGAGCGGAATAGAACCCCAATCGGGGCTTTTGGTAAGAAGCCCCCCCCCCACCAAACCCGAACCAGCTCGGGCTTTCTGTGGGGAACCGCGAGAGCTGAAGGAAGGCAGGGATATGTAGGGATGATAGTCGTGGAGGTGGGTGGGGGCACAGAGGATGGGGATCCGAGGCCTAGGTCCTCCGCTCGAGCGGCCTTTTCTTCACTGCACCGCAGGTTATCGTTCCGTGGGAGAGCGACTGGTGGAGGAAAGAAGTCGGTAATATGGGGACAATTTGCAG